AAGAAAACCAAAGAAAAACTAAAGAAAACTAAAGAAAACCAAAGAAAACAAAAGAAAACTGAAGAAAAAAAAACAAAACAAAAGAAAACCAAAGAAAACTAAACAAAACCAAAGAAAACCAAAGAAAACCAAAGCAGCTCAGGTCCAACCTGTTGCTACTCACTTTGGAAGCATCCACCATGAACAGATGTTTGCTTGTTTGTTTGTTTTTGGGGTCCAAGTTGTGACGCAGAACCATCATAAAGTTCTCTCCAGAGCATCCAAAGGTCACCAGGTTCTTGTAGGAGAAGGTCATCAGCAGCTTCTGGCACAGACAGAGCCGAGGAAACATGAAGAACACACGAGGAACTGACAGACTGCAGAAGAAAGGAACCAGCAGAACATCTTACTGTGGAGCCGTGCTCCAGAACACTGATCCCGTCTTCATGGACCGCCAGCCGAACACTCAGACCTGCTTCTGGAGACGCACTGATGGACTGAAAACAGGAACAGTGTCAGAACAACCATAGTACCATCAGTACCCGACACCTCCACCATGATGTCACCTGACACACAGGTCTATGTCATCAATGATTGACAGGTCTTCAGTGCTTCCTTTCTAATAAGACCAGGTGACATGAGGTCCTGCTTGAGGAAACATCTTGGGCTAATCAAGTCCTGGATTGGACCAGTTCCCTGGCAGACTTCATGGACTGTGCTTCGCTACACATGGACGGTCTATAACTGGTATTTGTTTCTCGCTGCCTCTCAAGGTGTTTCCTCTCACAGTCCTGCAGCCATGCTAACAGGAAGAAGCTCCACCTGCTGACTCGGACTTTAGCAGAGTATAAAGGTGTGCTGTTGAGACACCTGAACTCACCTCTGCCTGAAACAGTTTAGCACCAAAGAAGGGCCACTTCCTGGCAACAGTCAGGTAGATCCTGACACACTCAGATGAGCTCCGACCTTTGAGGGAGGACCAGCGAACAGAGAGAGACTGCAGCAGATGTCTGAGGAGGGAAACACAACATCACACATTTAAACACACTGTTATCTCTGTTTCTGATTCATCTGAACCTTTTCTTTCTGGAGACAGAGTTAAAAACAGTCTGCTGGTCTGATCAGTAGTGATGCTGGAACTCAGTTAGAAGAGTGACATCTGCTGGCTTAAAGTCAGAACTGCATCTAGTAAAGCCCTGACAAGTCTTCATTACTTCCTGTTATATCGAGCTTTAAACTCATGCTTCATATTTAAATGTGTGATCCACAGGTTGTGAAGTGAAACATCACCACCGATCAGACCAGTCAGTGATAAAAACCAACAGTCTGATGATGGATGTGGCAGAAACACACCGCTGCTGCTCGTCAGGTGCCATCCTGCGGTAATGACTGGGGTAGAATCTGTCCAACACCTGTTTCAGGGTTTGAGATGATCCAGAGACACAAAAGGGACGGTCAAAGTCTCCAAACTCCACCTGCAGACAAGCAACAGAGTGTTGTTTACCTGTTTACCTGTAGCTGTAAATAAATCAGTGTTTTATAGTGTTTAGATGGTTCTTCTGGTTTCACTTTGAACAGAAGAAACAACAATAAACTTCATGTTCAAACATTGGTGTCTTAGTTTTAAAGGTTTCTTTCTCAGTTCCAGTGGATTGTGAGATATTTTGCTAACAGAGTTGAGTGTTCCTGACCTGGGCCAGCAGCGAGGCCATCTCCAGAGCCAGCTCCTTGTTGACAGGAAAGAAGCCGGCTACGATGGCCTCGTTGGTCTGATAAACCAGCAGTAGGCGCTCCCTCTCTGTCTCTCCTCTCACCTGCTGACAGAAATACAACCTGCAGAGGAGCAGGAAGCAGGTACACACCTGCTGTTACACACTCAACACTCAAACTGCAACACACAATGTCTCTTCATTTCAGCCCGTTCGGTTCTGTAGCTTTGAGACCCGGTTCTACCTGTTCTTGTAGGTCAGGCGGATGATCTTGGTGCTCTCAGACTTGTTGGACTGCTGCTCCTTGGAGGCCTGCTCCCACTTGGAGATGATGTCACAAATCTGCAGCCACAGAAGACAGAGGACAGCTGAGCAACAGGAAGTACAACACAACAAAGCATGGTCATTAAAGGTCCACCTTGATGTCTCCTGGGAGACAATGCTCCAGGTCTTGTCCAGTGGGGTCATCACTGAACAGGCTGAAACCAGACAGTCCAGTTGTCCTCATGCCGGTGTCCTGGTCCAGCCGACGCTGGAACTCATCCACAGTTGTTGAAGCATCAAAGCTCAACACCTGCAGACAGGAAGCCCATGCAGAGGACCAACATGTGAGACATGTGACATGAAGAGGGACAGAAATGCTCCAGTTGTCCTTACATGATACGTGTTGTTGAGGAAGTGGACAGGGACACTGAAGGGCAGGGAGTGGTGGTACGGGTTCCTCAGCAGGATGGACAGGATCTCCATGCGGGACGGTCTGGCCTGCCTCTCACCCTTCTGTTGGGTCCGCTCCAGAGAGCGCTGGCAGTAGATGGAGTACTTTCCCACCTCTGTCCTATGAGAGACAGGGGGGTCGTTATGAGCAGAGGACCTGAGACCTGATTCAAGTCAGAGACGTTAGCAGCTGAAGGAACAACGTTAGCTTCTGGAAGACCAACACAACCAACCCAGTCATCAACACAACCAACCCAATCATCAACACAACCAACACAACCAACCCAATCATCAACACAACCAACACAATCATCAACACAACCAACCCAATCATCAACACAACCAACCCAATCATCAACACAACCAACATAACCAACCCAATCATCAACACAACCAACACAATCATCAACACAACTAACACAACCAACCCAATCATCAACACAATCAACACAACCAATCCAATCATCAACACAACCAACACAACCAACCCAATCATCAACACAACCAACCCAATCATCAACACAATCAACACAACCAACCCAATCATCAACACAACCAACACAACCAACCCAATCATCAACACAACCAACACAATCACCCTATCATGAGCGTACATACTGTAGCATGGACCCTATGACCCAGACCTGGACCCCCAATGGTGTGTGTCCGATCAGTGTATAAATGTAATTAGCACTGATTAGTCTCCATAGATGATTTGTTTGTTAGCTTTCTAGAGATGTAAGAGAGTGAATGTAGAGTGACTGTAGAGTGACAGTAGAGTGCTGTAGAGTGACTGTAGAGTGACTGTAGAGTGCAGTAGAGTGACTGTAGAGTGCAGTAGAGTGACTGTAGAGTGACTGTAGAGTGACTGTAGAGTGACTGTAGAGTGACTGTAGAGTGCAGTAGAGTGACTGTAGAGTGCAGTAGAGTGACTGTAGAGTGACTGTAGAGTGCTGTAGAGTGACTGTAGAGTGCAGTAGAGTGACAGTAGAGTGCAGTAGAGTGACTGTAGAGTGACTGTAGAGTGCAGTAGAGTGACTGTAGAGTGCAGTAGAGTGACTGTAGAGTGACTGTAGTGACTGTAGAGTGCAGTAGAGTGCAGTAGAGAAACTGTAGTGACTGTAGAGTGACTGTAGAGTGACTGTAGTGACTGTAGAGTGCAGTAGAGTGCAG